GGCTGGGAATCTGGGAAAATGTGAATAAATCTGTTGTGTCTCGTACCATCGCTCGTTACCGTGATACTGTTAGCGTAGCCTGACGTCAAGGACAGCAATAGCAAAATTAGCAGAAATGTTTCGAAAAGTAAAGAAGCGACTTGATCGAAACCCGAGTCGCAGTGACCGAAAAATGGCTCGCAATATTCCATTCGGCATGTATAAAAAAATGAGCTCGGTGTAAAGCCCTTGAAATTTCAAAAGTGCAAGAACTTACACCGCAACAGAAAGAGAATAGACTCAAAAGAGCTAAAAAGTTGCTTCGCTTGGCCGAAAATGGTGAACTGCCGAATTTGTTTTTCTCTGATGAGAAAACATTCGGTGTCCAGCAGTTTGTAAACAAACAAAATGTTCGTATTTACTTGCCAAATAAGTCAGCTGAAAATGTGCACCTTCGGTTGGCCACCAGAACTCAAGCACCGGCCATGGTGATGGTGTGGTATTATTCGGCGTCAGAATAAATGCCGAATATTATGGTGAAAATATTTTGGAGGGTGTATTGAAGCCTTGGACAGAGCTTGGACATTCCAACAGGAGTCAGCACCATCGCACGCGCCACCCAAGAATAGTACATTTCCAGCGCACAATGCCCACCAAAATCTCCGGATACCAATCTGCTGGACTATTGTGTCTGGTGTATTTTGGAAATCAAGGTTGGTACTAAGAAATACCAAAGTATCGATCACCTCAAGCAAGCGCTTGAATGGGAATGGTCCAAAATACCACAGATCAACATTCGAGCAGCGGTGACGGTTACATTGGATGTTTGAAGGCCATAATTCGAGCCAAAAGTGACCAATTCGAACAAATCTCAACTTATTCTAAAATTTGATGCTATTTCCGACATTATTTGCTTTCATTCAATAAAATTAAAAAAAGTAAAAATTATGGCGTTTGACTTTGTTTCAATTTTTTATCACACCCTGTATATAGGAACTCAAGACCATTAACCACCATTTTCGATTAATTTCGTCTTTATATAAAACAATTGTACAAGGCCAAGTAAGCTCTTATGGGAGATGCAATAATCTTAGCTGAGATCCCCAGCCCTTCACTTTCACATCCCGTGAGTTTTAGACAGAAAGTTCTAAATTCAAAATATATCCAGATCCACACGTCCGCATTGTGTTCACTGGCATAACTTCCAAATAATTACAGACATAAAGCCCTACAAAAGCTCTAAGATAATCTGAAAATAAATTATTTCTTTACGTCGTTAAAAGTCTGCTCTCCGTATAAAGTCTTTCATCTAAAAGTCTCTATATATATCAAAAAGTCTATTTAGGACTCAAGGAACTATCCAATTCAAATACTCTTAATCTAACCTTAAAAAATGTGCACATTCATGATTTCTAAAAAAAAAAAACGTCTAAAATCTAGAGAGACAAATTACTGTTGCCCAGAAATAAATCACTAAAGTCACAACTATACAAACAACAACAAAGAATTTCCAATTGAAGTTCAACACAGCATATAAAATTGATTTTCAACAACGACAATAACTACATTTGGCGAACACCAGAGTTAAAGTCTCCAGCAATGCCCTTGTAAATAAATCTCCAGAGGAAGCAGCATTTCAATGTTTGTTTGCTATTCACTCTGTCTCGCTCTCCAGGCAAATTCAATTGAAAATAGAAAAGAGAAAAAAGAGGACTAAAAATATATATGGAAAAAACTGGTGCATCAATATATGAATTTGACGACATGCTTGTATGGATGTAATTCATCCATGTGAACATTTGCATGCTAACAAATCAAATAAAGTTTAGCATATTTTCAGAGTGCATGGCAATTTCCTGTTACGTTTCAAACTTTTTTAGATGGTATTTTTTTCTGCATCGATACAAATGAAATGTAATGGAACAAAAATTGATTTAAAGAGAGAAATATATTCTTCAATTTAAAAAATAATTATTATAGGAAATATATTTAAATTCAAAACTTTTTGAAAATTTTAAAAGCCTAGAATTCTGCATATGTTGATTTTCACCACAGTTTTTTAGGACAACCAAACCCCTTGGGAATGATTTCATCGCTCAAATTAAATTTAGTAAATTATATTCTATATTTATTATTCGCCATAAATGCCAACACAAAACATAATTAAAATTTCACTTCAGACATTATCTTTCACAAACAAAAATATCAACTCTTCTGCTTTCATTTACAAATTTCAGATTCTTTGGCCAAGACAAAGTTAAGGTTTTTTCTTTCGTTTTTAATTTGCATTTCAATTCATCCCCCCAAAAATCTCAAATAAGAAACAACAACTTCCTCATATCGTTGAATGACTACAGCAGTTGATGATTTTGTTCTGCAGTTGTGTTTTAGTTGTCTTTGGAGTAAAAACTCTTTTGTTTCGACAACTTGAAGTATAGGGTCGGTCGGGTCGTCAACAGCAGTTGTCTTAAAGTTTTTCATTTTACATCTTGTGAAATGTTGTTTTACATTTTAATTTTGTTCGCTTTTTGTTTTCAGACATACACATTGTTGACTGGTTGCCTGACTGACAGACAACGTACTTGGTCTATATATTTTTGGCCATGGCCGACATCATCATTATCGTCTCCAGTATTACCCAAGCTGCCTTCATCATCTTTTGTCTGTTATCTAGTTGTCGTTAGCATTTGGGTTATTCAACATCTTGGAATGATGTGTTGTTGCACAAGACCTTACATTTGAAAATTTGCTGAAAATGTTCTTAAGAATTGATGTAAGCTGGGCATGTTGGTGGTATGTTGTGCTAATCCAAAAAGGAAAGAGTGTTGAACAAATGTGGTGTTGTAAGCTGTTAAGTTATTTAAAGTACCTCAAACAAATATGAGGTACTTTTTGTCAACGAGTTTTAATCAAAAGTCTGTACTCAAATTTGAACGAGGCTACTCACGCGGGAGTGAAGTTTTTCGAGTGGGAGTAAAGTTGGCTCAAAATGGTCGGACTGGCCATTCTGCTACCGATGATTTTCTCTTTTTGGTCTACGATCTATCTGCAATCTTCTTTTTCTCTATGAAGCAGACGTTTCATCATACTCAAGGTCGTATTAAGGGAGCTCATATTTATTAACGAACATGCCATCAATCCAAATCCTGCGGATACTAAATGTGGTACCACATAATTTCCATAATTATAAAAAACGCGTCTCATAGAAGAGTTAACACGGAGAAGGCCAAAGGTGAGATCGTCTTAGAATTTTACACTGATCCAGAATATATATTCTTTGTAGGGTCTATTATGAATATTTCGAGGAGTTACAAACGGAATGACAAAATTAATATACCGCCCATAGAATGGTGGAGGGTATAAAAAACGAACCATGGTTCAAAGGTATTGGGAACCACTGAACCCAACCAACCATTGGAAGCCCTGTTTTTTAAGTGACTACCAATGACGAAGTTTGCAAGTGGTTCATAATAGTCCGTTATAAATTTTTACTGCGTGGGTACAGGAGTCAAAGAATATGACACATAGATAGCGAGATTTAAGGCCATCGGTAACTCAGCGACACAAAATGGAGAATCCAGCAAATGTTCTAAAATAATTATACTCAGAATTGCGTTTGATTGAATCCAGATGGCAAATTTGGATTATCTATTTGAGGAGACCCGGTTGCAGTAGGTCAATCAAAATATTACGTCTAATTGTGGTTTAACAGCCGAGTCACATCAACCATTACACTGCTACGGAAATTCATCATTTTCTATAAATTCTTCAGTTGGTAGCACAAGAACATCCAAGAAGATCAACCGGTGTTTCGAATACAGTAACTTTCTCAATTACTACAGAGAGCATATTGTTCATGGCAACTCAAATAGGTTCCCCACTTAAAATCAACGTCCTCGCGATTAAAGCCAATCGAAATGATCTTCAGTTGCCATCATACAGCCCTATTCGCCAGACTAACTTTATACTTCTTCTCCTACAGAAAATGGCTGTCGGCTAAACAATTCGACTAGGACCACAATCTAAATTTCATTTCTCTTTTATACAATTAGGTTTTTCGCACATATTAAATCCGAAAAGTCAAATAAAAGGACATTCGGTCAGAAAATATCACATTTCAAAATTTATCCGGTATGCAAACCCGCGTGACTTCAATGAGCGTAATTCTCTCCAGATATTAAAAAAATGGGAGAAAATAAAAGTCTAACTCTCTGTCCGGCCATACTGGGGGCTATACTGAACTAGGGGCTATACTGAACATTTTCTGCGAAAAAATAATAGTACTCAGCCAAAGCCTTTTGTGACATTTCTAGACCTTAACAAGTAATTGATCCGGCAGAATTTTTAATCTTCCTTCCACTATATTCATATCTATAAGTATTCTGTTGATAGGCATTGCAACACCAAACAGTGGGAGTCATTGTTATATGGATCTATACAAAACTGTAGCCAAAAATTGATAATTGTTTTTATATCTATTAAATTTAAAACAATTCCGTTAAAAAAAATTCACAAAAATGCCGGATTCTGGGAATGGGAGCCATCCCAAAGATAATATTTTACCAGGAGGTGGTAACTCTTAAAAACTCCAAACACAAAATTGTCGCAAATATTTTCAAAATATCGGATATTGGAAGGTACCATTATATGAGTTGTATCCGAAAAGTTCATATGAGGAAGAATCCACTGCAAACTCCAAACAGCAAATTTGAGACATTTGCATTGAAAATTTGAGCAAAATCAAATCAAAACCGAATACCGGGAGACATCACTATATGGGGTCTTTGTCACAACATGGACCTTAAATAGCAGCTCTTTTCAGGCATGTTTCCATAACTAAACATTGCTATTTTCCCTAATTTTGTAATTGACCAACTCGAATTTGCATTTTGAGAACTTTCTTCTATTTTGAAGAATAATTTAACGAATATGCAATGAAATTGAAAATGTGTATACACTGACTTATTGAATCCAGTAGACGGTAACTTAGCATTAAAATTAAAAAAGGTAAATATACTTACTGCCATCACTGTGAGGAACGCCTTCGCGAAGTAAAAAGTAACGCAAACCTTCCATGGTATATGTTTCCGATGCTTCCAAGGGATCTACAACATTGTTTTTACTCTTCGACATTTTCTGGCCATCAACAGTCCAATGTGAGTGAACAAACAGTTCACGTGGTGGTTCGAGACCTGCAAATGAAAAAAATACATTAGAAACGCAACTATAGGTAATACAACGATTTATGCACGGAATAGACCGATACGTTGCAAGAACGTTATTTTTTAATCATAAATCAGTATACAGGGTGAAATAAAAAAAACTGCAACAAAGTCACCCTCCAGAATATTTTCGCGATAATATTCGGCATTTATTCTGATGCCACGGTCGATTAATACGAGCGAAGACCGACCATCGGCTTTTATGGCGGCACACACCATCACCATGGCTGACTGAACAACGAATGTTTTCTCATCGGAAAAAAACCAAACTCGGCAGTTCACCACTTTCGGCCAAGCGAAGCAACTCTTTAGCTCCATTGAGTCTATTTTCTTTCTGTTGCGGTGTAAGTTCTTAAACTTTTTGGAATTTCAATGGCTTTACCCCGAGTTCATTTTTTATATTTTTGCCATTTTTCGGACGCGGCGACGCGGTTTTCGATCATGTCGCTTCTTTACTTTTCGAACCATTTCTGCTGATGTTGCTGTTTTCTTCCGTTCACTTCCTTGACGTCGGGCTACGCTACCAGTATTACGGTCACGAACGATGGTACGAAACACAAAAGATTTATTCTCATTTAAACGCTAGAGTGCTCTAACGATAGTCACTTCTGGTTTTCCAACCGAATATAAAGAAATCACACTATCACGCTTGAATTCCATCACGAAATGCTTTTGTACGCTTGTAAACAATATAATGAGGTGTCACTGGAATAATTTTAACAGCTGTCGGATGAGTGGCTTAGAAATTACAGCAGTCTGAAGTTGGTTGCAGTTTTTTCATCTCACCCTGTACAGACAGTTGAATCAACATGACAGTTGAATCAATGGGAACATTGACATGTCAAAATTTAATTTCATTTTATTTATTTACATTCAATACAAAGAAAGCCACTGAAGGCCAATTATACATGTGTTGGAAGATTAACCTAAAAATAGGGCTAAACTATGATAGAATAGACAAATTAAAAAAATTAACAATAATTAGAATGAGAATGGCCCCCAGCCATATGAATATTGTAAAATTAAAATAAAGTTAGGGATCCCACAACAACAAGTTAATTTTATGCATCATATTCAACATTGAAATACGATTTCAGTAACTTCTTTTATGTGGAGTAAGAATAGCCAAATTTTCTCATCGAACTTGGAAAACAGTTCCAGTCTCGGTAAACACGTACTAGGAAGGATTGTTCAAAAGTAGAAGTTCGTACTGGAGCACCAATGGAGCACCAATTTGTATATTACGTGTAGAATTTATAAATGCAAACTCTTGAACCAACACTTGAGGTTGTTGGGTTCTAACTATGTTGTAAAAATAAAGAACTGTACGCAGATTAATGTAATCTCTTCAAATTCCACCTAGGAATACTGGTGTTAATTGAAGAGCACGTGCATGCTCCTGGATACCTACATAAAAAATATATCTAACAATTTTTCGCACTATTTTTTCAATCCTATCAAGATTATAAGACCACGTTCCAGAAAAAACTTCAATGCCATAATTTACAATGGACATTAATAAAGAGTTAGCCAAGTGTATTCTAACATCTAAAGGTGTAAAAGCATTAAAAAAAGTAAGGCACACTTTTAAATGAATATCATTAATATTGTCAGTAAAACTAAGGTGAGAATCAAGAATAAAGCCAAGACACTTCATAAAATACACAAATTCAATAGGGGAAGCATTTATTGCAATACTGTTAACAGATGTAATTTGGTTACGTAGATAAAAATATAAAGCTTTAGTCTTTGAAGAGTTCATTTCCAACTTGTTAGATAACAATAAATTTGAAATAAAGGAAAGATGTTTATTCACGGATTCTTCAGAAGAATACGATTGGAACAACAAAAAAATGTCATCTGCAAAAACGTAAGGATTACATATAGAACTTTGCAATGCTGAAACAATATCATTTATATAAATAAGAAACAGAATTGGGCCTAAAATCGATCCTTGCGGTACACCAGAAGTCACATTACCAATACAAGAATTAAAACCATTGTATGATACATACTGTTTACGTTCAACTAAATAGGAATAAATTAATTTACAAGCCGATTTAGAAAACATAAACTTGTCTCTCAGTTTATTTAACAAGATGACATGATTGACACGATCAAAAGCTTTGGAGACATCTAATGAGACCAACATACAACTATCGTGGTTGTCAATTGCTTTCTTATGGAGTCTGTCATAGCTAGTAGGGCAGAAGTCGTGTTGTGGTTTTTACGGAAAGCAAATTGACATGGACTAAAAATTGAGTAACGTTGACAATGTTCAAGAATTTGTGTCTTCATAACATACTCAAGAATTTTAGAAAAAGATGGAAGTACAGAGATAGGCCCTTAGATATAGGGACAACACGGGCAAGTTTCCAATCAGTTGGGAAGCAGGAAACAGTAGGTATTGTTTTCCAAAAGTAAATAGTTTTTAAGTGTTTTCCTATATAAAGCCAATCGGAGGATATGATATGCATTTTTTAACATTTTTTTTACAAATTTGAAACTTTTTTCATTCAAATATTTCAATTTCAAAATTAGATTGGCAGTTCATTGTCCCAGCTGCTGATTGCATTCTTCTACCAGGGGTTAACGTATATGTTGATATTTTGAACATATTAATAGCATTTCCAAATAATTAGAATTTAATTTATTGTGTTGGGTGATAGAATTTTAGAAAATTTACGCAAAAAATCTACTAGTCGTTTTATCCTATTTGTCATAAACGGCTAAAGCTTGGTCCTACCTACCTTCCTAAGTGTATCATAAAAAATTAAGGGTATTATAATTTTGAGTTTACATTGGTAACGACTCATAATAATCATAAGAACCCATAAAGAAGTATATTTTTGATTTGGGCATAATCCTGATTTAATATTAATAATATATAATGTCAAATAACGTTTATGCTCGTAATATTATAACCCGAGCAAGTGTGTGCAATCTCTGATATTAAATCCCCTCCGGTTGGGTTAAAATTGGACATTTCAGACCACCTTTTTAAACTCAAAGGATAGAGTCGCTTTTCCAAACCTAATTGGCTATACAACTTCTATCTTTTGATCAATAAAACTTTGCACAAAATAAACTATACAGTCCTTAAGTACTTTGCATTAAAAAATTTATTCCCTATATCCTAGCATCTTAAATCTTTTCTTCCGAAAGAATAATAATTATTCCCTATATCTTAGCATCTTTTCTTCTGAAAGAATAAAATACAATCAACTCTCAGTACTTAACATACCTGCAGCTATTAAAAATGCTGGCCAGTATATACCATGGAATTTCAAGATATCTTTTCCAATAACTTGTACTTTTGGTGGCCAGCAAGAATGAAACTAAAAAAGAAGAAAAATTTATAAAATTTTTCAAATAAAATAATAATTAAAAATACCTTGGGATCAGGATAACCGGCCGATGTTAAATAATTCACTAATGCATCTAACCACACATACACCGATTGTGTAGCATCATCGGGTACGGGTATAGCCCATTTAACACGTTCAGCAGGACGTGAAACCGAAACATCAGGCAATGGCTCTGACAACAGGTCAAATAAAATTTTCTCAAATTTTAAGGGTTTTACCCGGCCTCCTTGCTTTAACCAATAAATAACTTCAGACTGTAAATTCGACAAACGGAACATGTAGTTTTTTTCTTCCGTCCACTCTGCTGGATGGCCAGATTCCAGAGAAAATCTTTCTCCGGTAGTCTCATCTACACGCAACTGCGAGTCTGTAAGGAATGTTTCATCCGATACACAATACCATCCTTGATAATTGGCCGAGTATATGTGACCTTTAGAACTTAAGCTATTCCAAAAATGTGTCACGGCCTTTTTATGACGATCTTCCGTTGTCCGTATAAAGTCATCATTTAGTATGGCAGCTTGTTGGAATACATTACGATAACGCGCTGAAATATCATTGCAATAATCAGCAACGGGAATTTTATGTTTGGCAGCGGCCTGTTGTACTTTCGTTCCATGTTCATCGGTGCCAGTGCACAACCGAACTGTAGATCCTGGCTGCGTCTGAAGTTTTTGATAGCGGCAAATCGTGTCGGCTATAACGGCCGAATACAAATGACCAATGTGTGGAGCTGTAATAACACGAATGAAATTCTAATAAGAAAAGTGAGTGTCGAACATTGTTGGAATACGAACCAGCATTGACATAGAATATTGGAGTGGTAACATAAAAAGTTGAGCTGACGTTGGAACACAGCCTTCGCACCGATTGCACTCTGGGTATCAACATTTTAATTGGCGTTATTTACATTTATCTTTTTTGCCCGGTATAAAGCGCAAAGTTTTGACAATTACGAAACCGCGAACTGAAACCCAACCACAACGCACGCCGACCAGTTGTTTGTGTTTTGATAAACAGTTGTTCATGTTTCTTCTGCTGCAGGAGGGTGCGACATGATTCTACGATTAGTGCAAAAGTAACGTAAACAAATTGTGTTATACGGTCCTCAGGAAAATTTAAGACGTTATCTTTTAAAGTTTCATGAAATATGTTATTTATAATTTAATTGTAGCCCGTTAATTGATCTAGAGAAACGAAACTGCGCAAAGATGGATGACGACAATGCTGAAATTTTCAGCGAAGACTTCAAGCTGTTTGTGTACTTACACCGATGGTACAATAAAAAAGGTAAGTTAGAGCTACCAGCTGATTATATTTTTTTTGTAAGTGTGCCCGACTTCTGCCAATTTTTTGTATATATTTATTGTTTAGAAAAATAAAAACAGAACATTTTCAAAATCAATGATTGGAAGACGGGTAAATTGCGAGACTCGCATTAAAGCTATTCGAAAGTTTTGCCATGGAATTGAAAGATAGAACTGTTTAGATTATATTTTCGAAAGGAAATCCAAGCATTTCATTCATTTTTCCCGCTTTTAACTAAGTTTAAAAATGAGGAAAAAATATTGAATCCATGACAGAAGAATACAGGTAGATGCATCAACGCTTGGGAGCATTGATATGTCAAAAAATTGTAAATGTTTTTTTTTTTTTCAAATATAAGTAGATTTTTATATGTTTTCTTATTCGACGTCATTCGGAGGTTATTATAATCCGAAATTGAAAATGTTAAATGAAAAATTATTAAAATTTGTAAAAGTTTTTGAAAAATTCATATTATAACAACCTCTGATTTGCGTTGTATAAAAAACATGAAAAAATCCACTTATTTTTCATAAAACAAGCGTTGATGCATCTACCTATATTCTTCTACCATAGGTTTTAGTATTAGATTCATATATCTCGATGATGGCAACACCTTTATTTTTTCAGAATTTCACAATATCCAGGTGGGATACCTTTTCCAATTATTTTCAATTTGAAAATGTCAACATATTGTGAAATTGACAATCACCCCTTGGTGAATCCTGTTTTTATTAACCAACCCGGGCAATTACAATTTTCTAAGAAACTATTTAACAATTTTAATGCTAAAACACAAATATGTGAGAATTGTAAAACGGCAATAAGTTTCCTGTACCAAAAGACAAAGCAGCTGAAAGAGGAAAGCAAAAGTAATGAATGGATGGATGCTGTATCCTCTTTGGACTCTATTGAGTTAAAAGGAAATAATGAACATGGACCTTCATCTAACCAGTGTACAACAATGGTGAGATCTGAAAGTAAATTCACGAATTCAATACCAAAGAAGAAATCTTGTAAATTGAAACACCGCAAACACAAAAAATATAAACAACGAATGCAGACAAGTGTTAATGTGAAATTTAAAATACACATGTCTGCAAAAAGACAATCAAAAAATAAGTATATGAGTAAATAATAAATAGGTGTGTCTGGTTACTTTTCCAGCAGGAATTGTCCAGCAACTTCTTTCTGAGAGAGTAAGGTAGTTTTATTCTCTTTTGCAAGGAAAATGCGAAAAGTAAACAGACGGTATTCCTGCAGAAGTTTGCAAATAATCAGCTGATTTGTCAAAACAAACCAATTTGTCCCCATAAGGAGAATTAAAACAAAGGAAGCAATACTAATTTTACAAGTTTTTTAAATAAAAATGTTGGAAATAGTCTTTTATTTTCTTATTACATATTAATATTTACTTTTTTCACATTCTTTTACGTTGTTCTCAAATTGAAACTAAACAAACAATAGAAAACATCTGATTGAATGTCGATGAATGAGAAGAAGAAGAGTTGCAAGTGATTGCAAGAAGAAATTTGTCCAGCAAGAATTTGCAAACTCTCACTGAAAGAACTGTCAAAATTTCTCTCTCCAACCGCTCTCTTTTGCAGAACTTTCGGGTTAACAGACGACTTCCAGTAACAATTTGTAACAATTGTTACAAATTTTAGAGTAACCAGACACACCTAATGTTATGTCGAAAATATAACAAACTATTAAAGTAAATATTAGTTGGAGAGCGGACAAGTTATGGGAAGACACTGATCCAGAATTGCAATGATGCAAAATGATCGGAAATAATAGCGAAACTGGTAGATTCTTGTAGGTTCTGGAAAAAAATCAAAACATTTTTCAAAATCAATACCATTTGTTATATTTCCATACTTTGTTAATTGTAATAATGGTAAAAGAGTGAATTGTTATTTTAGCTAAGAGAGATCTAATTTGTCGAGAAACACAATCGATATAAAACTGGAATTTATTAAAATCAGAATTACCCATAATTAAATTCAACAAATTTTTATTAATTCCTATTTTCCCCCCATTTTTAGAAATTAATTAAATAGTTCGAATGATTAACGCAATGTCTGGATTTTCTTCCAATAATATGATCCAAACAGTTTATTAAATGTAAATATATTTTGTATTTTTAAAATCTATTACCTACACGCGATATTTTCACTATGTTAACACATTGTTAACTTCAACGCTTTTTGATTAGGTTGCATTTCACCAAATGCACATTTAGACTTTGTGCTGACATTTCCCAGTGAATTGTAGCAATTGGCGGCAGTTGCGTGGAATGTCAAAACAGTAGTGCAGTGCGCTGAGTTATTTCAATTTTGTTTATAGCATTTTTTACACCTATTAGTTAATTATTTTAAGCCATGCCAATGCATTGTGCTGTTGCTGACCATGAGCTGGTCGATGGCTGCTTTGTGGAGGATCCAAGACATATAAAATTCATAAAAAAGAACTTTATAGATTTTCGTCCGCGCTCACAAATTTGTCGAACATGCAAAGCGGGCATGGAGTACATGTACGAGTTGACCATACAAAAAATCAAGAAAAAGAGGAATCAATCAGCTCATGATGAATTAAGTTCCGTTTCTTCGCTACAAACTCTTCGACGGTCGCGTTCGTTGTCATTGCAATCAAATGTATCAAACGATTCCATTGATGATCTACTGACTAAGACTCCAGCTCATCAATCATTGAATAAAAGTTCATCAATTACTAATGGTTCGGTTGGCGCCAAACCGACAGATGTAGAATCGACACCATATATCCGATCAGTACTTGTGCCACTTAATGGACAAGATAGTCCACAGAGTGCTTCTGTGCGGAGAATATCGAAAGAAGTTCCAGCTTTTACACCAAATCAATTGAATGTGACCGAGCAAATAGTATTTACGCCAACTGTATATACGGAAGATACACCAGCGGCTCCACCAGTGGCCAGAAGAATTATGGGACAAGATGCAAATAACAATATGAATAGTTCTACTTCAAACTCCTCGGCTGCCCGAAGAATAATGGTACAAGAAGCGAATAAAAATGGGGGCAATGAATCAACAAGTCATATTCGATTATCTCAAGAACCTACAACGAGTAAAGCTGCTGCTGTTGCTGCACCAAAACTCCCTATCCAAGAAAAAGCCAAGGGAATAACAAAATATTTTCAACCAAGTTCAAAGACTGCCAATAACAACAATGTTCAACCATTACATGGGAAAACTCCAACCCCTAGCTCTGTACAATCTTCTCCATCAAACGTGCGAGTATCGCAAGAACCAACCACGAGTCGCAATGCTGCAAATGTTGAACCATTATATGGTAATACACCCGCTGATAATTCAGAAGAACCTGAAACGAGTGCGGCAATTGAAGTCACCCCAAAGAAAAAACATGTATCATTCTCTACAAATAGGAAACGTGTACATCATCTTACTGTCGACGATGATGAATCTGTCGAGGATGATGATGAAATGCGGAGCTTGCATGCCTTCGATGGTACACGTATGCCAAATGTGCAACCAATAATCAAGAGAAGCCGTCAGCAATTTACACACCCTGATTATCGAGTTATGGACGTATATATAGCAGACACATCCGGAGGATAAGGTAAGTCTTAATTATTGTTTGAAAGTAATATTTTTATTCAGTGACCTCTTAGAAATGTATTTTTATAGGGAACATCATTAGATGGTCACGATATAGAGATTCAAGGAACCAGTTTCACTTAGGTCAACTTTCGATCGGTTTAAATATTTACGTTTGATATAGTTTTTGTTATGCTAAAATTATCATAACAGTCGCTGATTATAAACATAGGTTCAAAAAATAATGATAATTGACATCATTGATTGCCATTTTTTCAGGACAGGAGTTAAATCACAACAAAATGTGTGGCAGAATAGTAATGATAATGATGATTTGATATTGTCAGTCACGCGAGTTCGTTCCCCAACTGCTCTACAGTGTTTCATTTACTTTTTGCGTATGGTCGAAAATCTACGTAGTGAAATAAGGCTTCCCAAGGTAGGATTTCACATCTTAAAATATTTTATATGGGATCTGCAATTGGTAACAATATGAGGATCACACTGTCACTACCTCCAACTAATGGACCCAAAGTTTTATTGGCTTTTTAAGTTCTGTGGACGTTCCTTCGCTACCTGCTGTAAGAGTGGGTGTACAGGGTGAGACAAAAATCTGCAACAAAGTCAAAAGCAAAATATGTCGGAAATAGTATAAAATTTTAGAATAAGTTTAAACTTCTTCGAATTGGTCACCTTTGGCACGAATTATGGCCTGCGGTATTTTGGCCCTCATTTTGTAAACATTCCTGGGTGGCGCGTGCTGAGGTATGGTGCTGAGTCCTGTTGGAATGTCCAAGGTCTGCGACCAAAATTTTTTTTTTACGAACTGCTGTCAACGAATGTTTTCTCATCGGAGAAAACCAAATTCGGCAGTTCACCACTTTCGACCAAGCGAAGCAACCCCATACCTCTTTTGAGTCTATTTTCGTTCTGTTGCGGTGTAAGTTATTGCACTTTTTGGAATTTCAATGGCTATACCCCGAGCTCATTTTTTATATTTGCCGAATGGAATATTGCGATATGTTCAGCTCACGAGCCATTTTTCGGCCACTACGACGCGGTTTTCGATCAAGCCGCTTCTCTTTTTTGGAACCATTTCTGCTGATGTTGCTGTTTTCTTCTGTCCACTTCCTTGGGGTCTAGCTACGCTACCAGTATCACGGTAACAAGCGATGTTACGAGACACAAACGATTTATTCACATTTAAATGCTGGAGTGCTCTAACGATAGCCACTTGTGGTTTTCCAGCCAAATATAAAGAAATTACACTATCACGCTTCAATTCCAGCACGAATAACTTTTTATTTGGAAAATTATCACTAAAATGCTTTTGTACGCTTGTAAGCTATATAATGAGCTGTCACTGCAATAATTTTAACAGCAGTCGGACGAGTGGCTCAGGAATGACAGCAGTCTGAAGTTGGTTGCGGTTTTTTCATCTCACCCTGTAGAAGCAAAGTTGTTAGGTCTTGGGACGATAAGCAAATCTAGACCGATCGGTAGTAATATATGCGACGCTGGTGGAAATCCAAGTTGAATAATAAGGTCAATTATTTTCTTGAAGTTAGAAAAAAACTAAACTAACAGAACCTAAACTAAATATAAAAACATCAACATTAAAACGCCTTAGTAAATATTCTTTTGCCGATTGAGAGCTTTAACTAAGTAGCTAGGAACAGTATGTATACTCATGGATCCAAATTCAAAACAACTTTGTGTACGTAACTTTGGGATGAAATCGAGCATTAATCATTCTAAAATTTAGTGTCACCTTAATACAATTTTTAATAATACGAACTACGATTTCCATTTTTTCTAGACATGAAGAACTCATTTACAAAGTAATGGAACTCAAACAAAATGGCCTGCTTAACTTTGGAGGGCTGGAATCCCAATTGCTCTTAAGTTTTAGTCTTATGCGTTGTTTTCATATGATGTTAGATCTTATTCACATAAGTCAATAGTTAAGTAAATAGTTTTTATACAATTAATTGTAGATATAATTGAAATGTTCTTTGTTAAAAGTCATAATTTATTCTTCAAGCATATAGTATCCGACGAGCATCATATTCTGTATAGATATTTGCCTATAAATTAAGAAATCTAAAGTTTATAACTAAATAAAATATACCAATATGATAATCTACATCACCAATAAAGAACGAATAAATTGTCGTAAAATTATCTTAAATTCTGAACATTTCGAAAAAGTAATTGAAGGCATTCCATTCTCTGATATTTCCAAGGTGTATTTACAAGATGCTGTCTTCTTTTGTGGCCTAAAACATAATGTTTAATAAAATATATACATTAAATATTTATTTTTTTTTTAACCAAAATACACTTGTACGTTTTTTATATTTTTGTTGTTTGTTCTCTTTGAGGCAAAAAAAAATCTTTCGACATCAAAAAAATTAAGGCTTGAATTTCATGAATGTGGGACCTTATTAAATTGAATTTCTATATTCCTAACGTATAATTTTGCATACAAAATACGGTGAAATAATATCCTGTGAGAATAAAAGCAATTGTTATTTCATGATTTTCAAAACAGAAGAAAGATAAGTCCAAGATGCACAACAATTTTTACACTTCAGTAGCAACTTTTTTTCCACGCAGTGGAAGACAGATAAGTCCAAGACCCACAACAATTTTTACTCTTCAATAGCAAATTTTGCGCCACGCGGTGGATGCATTCTATTTTAAAAAATTTCTAAATTACAACAATTATTTAAGCTTTTTGACCTATTTAATTTCATAAGAATTATTATGCCATATAATTATAAATAATCCATATATTACACTGCTAAATACATATACATTATCATAATTACCTTCTTTGTAAAGCCAAATTAAACTCAAGACTTTTTGTTTTTAATTTTATTTTTCATTTTATTTTTCATTCATTTGTTGGGTTTTATTTTTGTAACACATTTAGTAAGAAAATAATTGAATTGAATTTATTCTATTCTTTTCTAATTTCATATTTATTGTATTTTTGTTAATAAACTATTTTCTTAAATTTCGTTTGTTTGCCATCATATAGAATATCACAAACTTAGAGTGCAAGTATGATAAAACCATTTTCCTCGAAAATCAACTCAGATAAAGTTGTGATTTCTTCTCCCTAATCCACTACACATAAGACCTTTTTTTAGACTTTACATAGTTCCACTTTAAGTAAGTAACATCATTTGATCAATAATTGTAATAAAAATTCACATGTTTCAATACACATACACATATATGAACTTTTATTGTTGTTTTACTATTTGGAAATTACAAAATATTTATTATTGTAAATTCAGTTATGTAGCGTTTTGTTGTTGTTTTCTAAATTTGCAATAATTGCAACATTTAATATAACCACCTACGTTTAATACAAAGCCTTGTTATAGTTGAAAATTGTTGTGATATTTATTATTATTTTATGTCAACTATCAAAATGAGTTTATGAGTTAGTCGTCGTTGAGCATTGACCGAGAGCGGACGCATCTAAGGAGCGTAGAGCATATTACATTTTAAACTTTGTATTTATTCCCAGAATTACTTTTATTTTTAAATAAAAACCATCTTGACAGAATCAGAAGTGGGATAAGAACAGAAATCTACAAGGAATTTCATCATTTTGGATAAGAAGTGCAGAAAAATACTCAAAGAGCTGAGAAACTAAGGCGTCAAAGTGATGTAGTAGTGAAGAGATCAATGCAAAGCAACAACGACGACCAAAGGAGAAACCACGCAAAGGCACCTAAACTCAAAAGTTCGAGTGAGTTTAGTGAGAGTGTGTAACGTGCTCAAAGAGAGCAAAGGAGAAAGCATCAATCAAAGGAGAATGTACAAAGGTATACTCAAAAGTGTGAGTGAGTAGGACAACGATAGTACATCAAGGAGATTGAAAGCAAGACATAAAGAGGAGAAACCACGCAAAGGCACCTAAACTCAAAAGTTCGAGTGAGTTTAGTGAGAGTGTGTAACGTGCTCAAAGAGAGCAAAGAAGAAAGCATCAATCAAAGGAGAATGTACAAAGGTATACTCAAAAGTGTGAGTGAGTAGGACAACGATAGTACATCAAGGAGATTGAAAGCAAGACATAAAGAGGGGAACCCCGAAGAAGAAGTTTAAAAAGGGAAAAGTTAACGTATATTTTTAGGGCGTGCGGCTTCTAAAAAAAGGAATAGTTCTAGATTTGCTGAAGTAACGAATTAAAAAGGAAAATTCACAAGGAAAAGTATGAAGGTGAAAATAAGTTCGTTAAAGGTTGCGGAGCTAGACAAATTATTACTGGCAAGAAGCTTACCACGAACAGGAAATAAGTCCGAGAAAATTGCTAGACTCATGGCTTGCAATGGAAATGACGAAGTGGAAGTTGAAGATTCAGAGTCACAGGAGGATTTCCATGGATTTGATGAAGCTGAGACGGGTGATGATTCTCTAACAAGTCAAATGCGAGAGCTAAAGGATATAATGTTGACTCTAGCAAGAAGTGTGCAACAGTTAACAACACTTTCAACAGAAAGGGCTATTACGTCAAATGCAGGGTTAAATTCAAGGGATACAGAACAGCAAGTTCCAGCTGAAGTAATATCAAGACAATCTGGTTCCGGAACATCTGGTTGTTTAAAGGATTACATAGTAATGATACCAGACTTCGATCCAATTAAAGGAAATGTTACATCAGTCCAATTCATTGACAAGGTTGAAACGTTGCAAAGGCTTCATGGATGGTCAGATGAAACAACTTTGTTTGCAGTTCATCATAAAATGAGTGGTGTTGCTAAAATGTGGATAGACGCTTTACCAGTGGTTGAAACATGGAAAGAGTTCAGACAACAATTTTTAAAGGATTTCCCAAGTCGAGTAAGTGTTGCTGACATTCATCGTGAACTTATAGCTAGGAAACGAAACTCGAATGAGTCTTTGGTGGAATATTATTACGCAATGTTGGCCATAGGGAAAAGAGGAAGCGTAGATGAGGCATCAATACTGTCGTACATCATAAATGGTCTCAATGATAGCAGCTTAACAAGAACACTTTTAGCTATGAACCCGCAGACATGTAGTGAATTATTAAGGTCGTTGGAGAATTTGACCATACAAACGTATGCAAGGAAGCAAACAAAGAATGACGAGGATGACAAAACCGCAAGTGTCTCAGGTGGAGCGCCAACCAAGGGAGTAAAATGTTTCAATTGTAACAGGTTTGGGCATATCTCAACTAGTTGCCCACAACCATTGAAGAAGCCGAAGTGTAGTAAATGTGCAAAGATTGGTCACGATGCATCGCAATGCAAAGGTAAAGGTACAACTGTGGCAGCAATGACAGAAGAGTCTAAGGATTACTGCCCACCGGTTATGAAAGATGTTACGGTCAATGGTAAGACATATGAAGGTTTTGTGGACACTGGAAGCGACTTTACCTTAATGCGGAAAGCTGTAGTTCCAGAGGGTTGCGATATGGAAGTAACGTCAAAAAGAATGAAAGGTTTTGGTGGATCTATTGTTGAAGTGGTGGAAATGTTTGAGACTAACGTTGTCATCGACGAGGAGAGTTTAATGACTACCATTTATGTAGTGCCGAATGACTTGATGCGATATGACGTTCTCTTAGGAAGAGACGTATTGTGTAAGAAGCAAACAAAACTTACAATTGAGCATGGTGTCTTGAAAGTAAAGTCAAGAATGCCAAGTACATTTAATGTCGGAGAAAGTCTGGATGAGCATCAAAAGGAAAAATTAGACCAAATACTGTCGTCATTCAAGGACTGTTTTGCTGAAACCCTTGAAGACCTTGGAAGGTGTAAAAATACACAAATGGAAATAAGTTTATCTACGGACAAGCCTGTAGTTGGTAAAAGATACCAAGTTCCATTTTCTCAAAGACAAATTCTGTCAGACATAATTGACAAGTTGCTTCGATGTTGTATTATTCGCCCAAGTGATTCGCCCTATGCAGCATCAGTATTGTTGGTCAAAAAGGCGAATGGTGAAAGTCGTATGTGTACGGATTATCGAGCATTAAATGAAGTCACCATCAAAAAGCAGTACTCGATGCCAGTGGTTGAAGAACAACTTTCGTTGTTATCTGGAAATAAGTATTTTACAACGTTAGACATGACATCAGGATATTACCAGATACACGTCAAGGAAGAATCCAAGAAATTCACGGCGTTTATAAAGCCAACCAGGAATACAAAGACTGCTCCGGTTATAACAGCGCTGCGAGAAGTTATGTCGATTTTCGGACAGCCACGAAGAATTGTATCGGATAAGGGAACGGCGTTCACGTCTAAAGAATTCCAACAGTTTGTGGAATACAACGGAATACAACATGTACAAACAGCAGTCCGAACACCAAGAGCCAATGGCCAAGCCGAGCGGATCAACCAGACAGTTTTGAATGCGTTGAAATGTCTAGTAGGTGATACAAAAGAATGGGACACTGAGACAACAACGATACAGTGGAGTATTAACTCGCAGCTGAATGCGACTACAAAGTTCAGTCCGAATGACTTAATATTCAACTTTAGTCTCAGAGATGTCAGTTACAATAGAATTATCCAGGCGGTTGGTGATGAAGAAAGAGAGAATTTCGATGTTAGGGTAATTCAACAGCAGGCTGTTGCTAACATCCAGAAACAAAAGGAAAAATGGAAAGCAAGATTTGACAGCCGTCATTCCAAGCCAACTCAGTACAAGGAAGGCGATTTGGTGGTGATAGACACGGTACCGCAGCCTACAGGAGAATCGCATAAGTTGGATGCGCGGTATAAAGGACCATACATCGTCACGAAAATTATCGGAAACGATCGTTATCTGGTAGAGGATCTGCCGGATTTAAGTTTGAAGCAAAGGAAATATTGCGGTGTTATGTCGACCGATCATATGAAGCCCTGGTGCTATGGTGATCCAAGTCTCGAAATCGAAGATAAAGATGAGTCTGATGATGGTTCGCCCAGGAGGGACGAAGAGTCAGGAGAGGCCGAATTGTCAACTATCAAAATGAGTTTATGAGTTAGTCGTCGTTGAGCATTGACCGAGAGCGGACGCATCTAAGGAGCGTAGAGCATATTACATTTTAAACTTTGTATTTATTCCCAGAATTACTTTTATTTTTAAATAAAAACCATCTTGACATTTACATTAGTTTTTCTTTCATTTATTTATTTTTTACATATGTATAACACCATAAAAAGTTTGTGTGTGTTTAAATCTATATTTGATCTGTACAATTTTGTAAGCATATATCGCTATGAGTACGGTTCCATCGATCTTCGACTAAACTTTTAAATATTTTTTTTTTTTGCATTTTAATGTAGGAATATCTAGGTATTTCTCCAAGGGATATCATCGTCTATGCACTTTGATATACCAAGATCAATATATTTCTCCATCAGATAGAGAAACAGATTCTCCGGTCCGTACACCTTATCAAAAAAAAAAAAAAAAAACGGAGGTTTATCATTGAGGCTAAAATGAGTTTATAGCCACCACGAAATTCTTCAAATAATTTCTTCGAATACTTTAATATGTGGTATTCTAATATATGACCAGAATGCTTTCCCATGTGATGATTGATGATGAAATGATTTTTAATAGAATATTGATCGCGTTCTTATAGAAAAAAAAGACCCTTGGATTAACGGCTTGTCCAAGAGATATTTTCATAAATATTCATTGGTTTTTGTTTTAAAGAATGAGAAGAGGTCTTTCCAAAGATTTTCGTAAAGGAACAAAGTGTTTATCAAATATTCATTGGTTTTCGTTTTAAAGAATGAGAAGAGGTCTTTCCAAAGCTTTTCGTAAAGGAACAAAGTGTTTATGAGATCTTGATATGGTATTAGAAACACTAAAGTTGACCAATTGTATTTAAAAAAAACTCTTAAGTGACTAAATGAACGCCCGATATAACCCCCAATCACATTGTCATAGAAAGCCAAATGTCTTTTTCTACAGGTCTAAAGGGTCTTGAAATACGAAGAAGAACAATAATTCTTCCATAGAACAGAAAAAGCTTTTCACATGGATGGAAAAACTCTTCCCATGGAAGGGCGAAAGGCAAAGGTCTTAACAAAGAAGACCAAGAGTGTTCTCCTACAGAACTTCTCCCAGAAGATAAATGGGTGTATGTATGGAATATCAAGAAGAACAAACAGTTTGCCAGAAGAAAAAAAATCGTCATCTGCATAAAAATCTAATTCGATTTAACGATGATGATTTAAGACACATTTTTCTAGGGGTTATTTTTTTATAAATTTGGCATTTAAAGTTCTTCCCCCTGTGGCAAAACTCCTCTCTCCTTTTTAAAAGGACAAATAGTCCTCATATGAGCCCAAAGGTTTTATAATAGATGACCAATAAGTCACAGAAAGTCAATTAGTATTCTTCAGGAAAATCAAATCTCTTTGATGATCAATAAATCTTCTCATTGAAGTTCAAAAGTTATCTAGAAGAAGAAAATGCTCCCTTGTATTAATTAGTACATCAGATATAAAAATCGACTCGCCACTGCAATGTTGGATATCTAACCTCAAAATGAAATAACAGTGGTCTTGACTTCTGTAAATTATATTGGGGGTGAAGAAGAGGTAGTGACGACGGAACACCATGTCCCATGTTATCAAACGGGAGAAAAAGGCTATTTGTTTGGAGGGAGATAGAAACTCATTGTTCTCTATCTATATGCTAGAAGCTTCTCCCGGCTAAACGCCCTACTTAAACACCTCTAAAAGATTTTATTTTTATACCCTCCACCTTCGAAAGGAGGGTATATTTATATACATTGACATTCCGTTTGTAACATCCCTAAATATTCGTCGTAGACCTTATAAAGTTTATATATTCATAATCAGCATAAAATTCTATGTCGATATAACGATGTCCGTCTGTCTATTGAAATCTCGATACAGCCCACATCATTTTACGTAGAGCATCAATATTTAGCAGAACAATTTGTATTGTGTATATGATGGTTGGTATTGAAAATGACATACCGGGTGAGATGAAAAAACTGCAATTAACTTCAGACTGCTGTCATTTCTAAGCCACTCGTCCGACAGCTATTACAATTAATACAGTGACAGCTCATTATATTGTTTACAAGCGTACAAAAGCATTTTGGTGAAATTTTTCCAAAAAAAAAAAAATATTGGTCATGGAATTCAAGTGCGATTTCTTTATATTTGGCTGGAAAACCACAAGTGGCTATGGTTAGAGCACTCCAGCATTTAAATATGAATAAATCTTTGATGTCTCGTACCATCGCTCGTCACCGTGATACTAGTAGCGTATCCCGGCGTCAAGGAAGTAGACGGAAGAAAACATCAACATCAGCAGAAGTGGTTCGAAAAGTAAAGAAGTGATTTGATCGAAACCCACGTCGCAGTGGCCGAAAAATGGCGAGCTGAATATATCACAATATTCCATTCGGCAAATGTTGAAAAATGAGCTCGGGGTAAAGCCATTGAAACTCCAAAGAGTGCAATAACTTATACCGCAACAGAAAGAAAATAAACTCAAAAGGCAAAATAGTTGCTTCGCTTGGCCGAAAGTGGTGAACTGCCGAGTTTGGATTTCTTCGATAAGAAAACATTTGTTGTCCAGCAGTTTGTAAACAAACTAAATGAGCGTATTTACTTGCCAAAGAGGTCAGCTGAAAATATGAACCGTCGGTTGGCCAGCAGAACTCAAGCGACGGCCATGGTGATGGTGTGGGCCGCCATAACAGCCTCGTATTAATCGACCGTGGCATCAGAATAAATGCCGAATATTATGGCGAAAATATTCTGGAGGGTGTATTGAAGCCTTTGGCACGCAAACATTGTGGCCGCAGACCTTGGGCATTCCAACAGGACTCAACACCATATCACTCAGCACGCGCCACCCAAAAATGGTTACAAAATGAGGTTCCTCCCTTCATTTCCAGCGCACAATGGCTACCAAAATCTCCGGATACCAATCCGTTGGACTATTGTGTCTGGAGTTTTTTGGAAAACAGGGTTGGCACTAAAAAATACCATAGTGTCGATCACCTCAAGAAAGCGCTTCGCCGGGAATGGGCCAAAATACCGCAGAGCAACGTGCGTGTGACGAAGCAGCGTGTGACGAATTTATTGGCCGTTTGAAGGCCATAATTCGTGCCAAGGGTGACCAATTCGAAACAAATCTAAAGTTATTCTAAAATTTGATATAGCCTCCATATAACGGTACCTCCCTATATTCTGTATTTTGACGATTTTTGCCACATTTTCCCCAGAATTTGTTTAAAAATTGGTATTTGTGGGTCTAATGTTTCCTTTACCTTAAGGTGGAGTGTATTAAAAGTTCTGCCCGGCCCGCACTTAATATTTTGTTCCTTGTTTCTTGCTTCAATATCTTCTCTCTATCCTACCAGTAATTTTCCTTCTTAGAAAGTTAGTTCTCATAGAATACCAAAAGACTTATCATGGATGATCAATAATTTTTCTCCTAAAACAAATTAAAGGGTCTATTCATACAAATACAAAATGTCTTCTCTTATTCGACCATAAAATCATATAAAGGAGACCTACATGTTTTCCAAAAGTAGCACAAGGGAATATTTCTAAAAAAGACTTGAGTTGTTTTCACAAAAAAAAAAAGAAAAAAACAGTACTTTACAAATGTATGTCTTCGTACGAAAGTCGACGAAATCTTATCATGGAAAACCAACATATTTCCTCATAGAATACTAAAAGTATTTCTCCTTGAGAAATTTAAGTCACCATCTAACAGAAAATTTAGAGTAATCTTTATATAATACATTAAGAATTTCCTAAAAAAATGCCTGAAAGGTCTTCTTAATAACGAAAAAAATCATTTGGAAGACCCCAAGAACTTTTCATCAAAGACAAATACATTTTTTCACTGGCGATAGATATAACGTTTCAATAACCCTTTTTGAATATCTGTCATAAGGGAGTCAAGTCCATTAGTTTATTCAGACTACATTCTGTTTACATCCTATTCATAGCAGGAGGATGCATTCGTGTTAATCGTCATTTAATTAGTCATCAATCAAACTTAAAAAGACTTTATGACCCTTTAAAATAATAAATAATTAAAAAAAAAACAAAAAAAAGTATATTTTGAAATTATTTGGTTTTTAATAATTTAATAAAATTTAAAAAAGAAAATAATTAATTACAATTATTACAAAAAAGTATATACAGTGTTTCGCATGAAATGAACTTATTTAAAAAATGTAAAGCAATGTTGTTGTTCTTTTTTTCTTTAATTAAAAAATACAATTGCTATAAACAAAATACTAGATCGTCTTATGAGCTAAATGAAATTAAGTTAAATTTATACAAATAGAAGAGGAGGAGGATTGCAGATGGACATTGAGATATAAAACTAAAAATAAAATTTTATAATTACAAAATACATACGTATGTAGTGACAAAATACTAAAAGTCTCAACGTAAAAATGGTTTTAAAAACAATTAAAAAAATCATAATTTCACAAAAATATTAATTGAGAAAATTTCGTTCGACGCTTTTCAAATTTGCTGCTTTAGCTTCTTATTAAAAATAGTTTTATATTTTTTATATGTATTTATCTTAAAAAAAGGAATGAATATCACTTTTTGTTATGAATTTTGCAATGAATTTTCCAAGAGAAAAATTGCATTATTTCGATTAAATATCCTAAAGAAGAGCATATGAGGAAGGGGGGTCCAACTAAAACCTTTGTGTTTCAAAGGCTGGAGATAGGGACTTTGAATTGCCGCTTGACACTTTCTTCCAATAACTTGTGTTAATAAGCATTAGTTTTCTTATATAGGTGTGGGTTGGTTTTTCGTCATAGAAATCAGTGCGTTTTGCTTACATAGTTAACGACATAAAACAAAAAATATATATTTATATATTTGTTTTTCTTTTCATAATTTTAGAATACCATACGGCAATGCCGAACTTATCTTAGAACTATAAACTATTTCCTTAAGGACGTTGTAGTCGTTGTTGTGCTACCATTCGGAACAGGCTTTTCAAAGCGTTGCGTTAGTGAGGCCACTGTGGAATTATTTTTCCCTGTGGGTGCTGTGGGCGGTCGTGGAGTCACCTTGGCTGTCGTTGATGGCGCTGCCGAGCCTAGCACCGGTTTTTTGCCTGTACTCGAGAATGAAGGCTTGGCTGATAGGGGTTTGGGTTTTTGTATTGTCGCACTAGCTGGCTTGTTGTTGGTGGAACTTTGATTTGATGTGGTGTTATTGGTGGGCGGCAGTGATTTTTGTGTGGGCTTTGTAAAGCTGTTAGCTCTGTTTGCAGTTGTGGTGGTGTTGTTGTTGTTCGTTTTGCTATTGAAACGCGATGCATTTGCTGTTGTGGCTCCCGCGTTATTTGTGTTTGGTTTGAAACTAGAAAATGCTGTTGTTGGTGATAGATCTGAACGGGTGGGTGCCACCCTTGCTATGGGTGCATTGACCGGAGCTGGTCTAAGATAGGAAGCCGGATTTGTTGGCGGTTTGCTGCTGAGATTTGTTGTTGATTCCTTATTGCTGGCGGAAGTTGTATTGGTTTCTTCCACCTTTCCTTTGACGGTGTCCTCTTTGTTTTTCCCCTTCACCAGGGTGGAGGCTGCTGCCGAATAAATAGATTCTCCACCAGTTCGCTTTTCCATTTCCGTTACAATTTCACCCAATAAACCTAGATCGTTGCTGCTGGCCACACTGCTACGTTGGCTGTTGCCAACCAAATCAATGCGTTTCATTGTTTGGGCAGCAGGAGGAATTTCATCTATGACCGAATAGATGTTATCACCATTTTCCGATGCCCTATGCAGTGGTGAGTCTTGTTCCTCAACACTGGCCAAAGGCACTTCGGAAAACTCACAATCATCATACATATGCTCGGGCCCACGAGGCACACCAATTGGCAGCTGATAGCCTGATGAAGTGGTTGAGTTGGTCTTCTTAAGAGGCGGTGGCCTGGGTGGTGGACTTTTTGGCCTTTGGCCATTTAGAGTTTGTGACGAAACAGCACTGCGAGGTCTGGCTGAACCAGGAGCCGATGCCTGGCGCATGGAGCCAAAGCTTTGTATGTTGGTTTTCTTTGTGGGTGAACGCATGGATTGGGCACGTTTCACCAAGTTCTTGGTTTCTTCTTCTTTGGGTGTTAATTCGGAGTCTGAGTTAGACGATTCTCCGGTTGGTGCCAAGGGTATGGGGGCTGAGATTTCTAGATTTTTTAATTTTTCACGATCTATATATGTTTTCTCTTTAACGGGAGCTGATTTTTCATCCTTCTTCAAAAATGATGTGATCCGGCGTATGGTGCCATCTTTACGTACATTGAGTTTGGGGTCGGTGTGCAGTGGTACAGGTGGTGGTGGCGCCGGTTTAAGTATTTCACCTGGAGCCAGGGGTGCAGGACGGGCGGGTGCCAATTCAGTGGTACTGCCATGTGAAGGCTTCAAAGGTAATGCCAGGGTGGAATTTTCCAATACCGGCATGGAAATAATAGGTCTAGCTGTTGAGCCAGGATTTGGCGGTGGCAAGGCAGGTGCTGCAATGCCATTGCATGTGGCGGGCGGTGGTGGAGCCTTGCGTGTAAGCGTGCCATTCATTTTAACTTCGCTTGGTTTAACGGGAGGTGGTGGCGCCGCCCTTTGGGGCACTTGTATGGAGTTGTCCTGCAGTGTTGGCTGGACGTAGGCCACATTGGGTCCGGTAAAGTTGTTGGTTGGCGATGTTGCATCATTTAAAGGCCTTAAAGTGAATCCCTTGAACTTTCCATATAAACCATTACCCATGTCATTCGAGTCACTGGGCGATTTCAATAAGGCTGAGTTCATATCATCCGTACTGCTGGGCGTTGATTTGGGCAAACCATTGGCATTCATTTGATTGCCAGCGCCATTGTTGCCATGTGGACGGGGTGGTTGTTTAGCACCGCTTGCTGATTTGATACTAAATTCCGAACGAAAAGAAAACAACGATTAGTTACAAAAATGTACATAAATAATGAATGGGTAAGGCTTAATGCATAAAAAAGAAAATATTTAAGGCTGGAAAATTTTAGTGTAGTGGTTTTGGTTGTTTTGTTTAACATACCCATATCATGCTTTGCAATACAGAAACACAAACGAAAAAATAGGCAAAGAGACATACCCATCACCAAAAGTGCTACATAGATAGACAGATACAGAGGCACACAGAGTCTAGACAAAACTCAAAAATAATAACAATAAAGCACAACAACCTAAAGCTATGTGAAGAAAATTAAAATAAAAAGAAGAGGAGGAAGCAAAATGGTTTAAGGATGTGTGAGGGAGGGGAAGAGGGATAGCTACAAGAGGTGCATGCGGTTCATTTTTGTTACACCAATGAAGGAAGGAAGGAAGCAAATGAGAAAGGATATGGGTAGACAAAGAGATGTATGCAAGTGAAGTGCATTTTATTTTGTTTATTTAAGAAAACTTAATATACAATTTTATGAAATTAAAATATATAAATAAATAAGTTTTAATAGTATTAAAGAAAATTAAAAATGGAATATTTTTCTTATAACTATACTTAAGTCAATCGAGAACATAGAATTGTAGTCTTGTTGCATATATAAAAAATTTTATATAAAATATTGGTTGTTACTAATTTAAAAATTGCATAATGCCTAAATATATTTTTGACTGATAATTAGTAATAAAAATATATATTCATTTCAGTCGTTTGGCATTTCAGTTCATAAAATATTGCACAAAATTTATGCTACAAACGGTCGTATCATCAGACCTTTTAAATTAGAAATACACTTTTATTTTATGGTAATTATAAATCGATTTCTTACATTTTGTATATAAACACTTTATATTGCACTAATTTTTAGTAAACTATAACAAAAAAAAAAAATAATAATAATAATCAAAATAACTGGCAGTATAAAATGGAATGCATTTTACCATGGCACAAGCAGTAGATTGTAAATTATACCAAAGATATGAAATACGTAGGTGCAGTAAAAAATAATAATAATTAATAAATAGCAAAATAAACATTCAACAATGCATTACAAGTCACAACACAACAATTTTTCGTTTTCACATTCCATTTTAAAAACAATTTTTTTGTTGCAACAACTGATGCATTAACAACCTTGTTTTTTTGAAAGAGAATTGCCACCAGAAACAAAAGCGAAAGGAAATAAATAGAATGGATTGCATGCTTTGAAGCATAACGCGCCTACTTGAGTAACAATAAAAATAATGCAAGTCAAGATTATTATTATAGTTTCGGGGGATTTCCTTTAAATATTTTAGGGAAAATATGCGGCCTATTTTTTTCAGTTAACGAAAATGTGTAGGGCGTTAAAAATGCTTCCAATTAAAATAAATTGCCTGATCTTAGTTAGGTTTTTTATGCGGTGGGGATCGACATTTTTATTTCTTCTGTAATGACTAATTACATCAACTTTTAAAATAAATTATTACGGCGAAGGTTTTAGACGGGTTTTGTTGTAAAAAATAGGATATTAATTCTAATATTGCTTTCGTTTCTATAAATCACTTTCCCTTCCTTATATACTGGTTGGAAGGCGCCTAATCCACACCGAGAAACGAACAAGTAAAAAAGAAGCTAAGTTCGGCCGGGCCGAACTTTTAATACCCTCCACCATTTGGAAGGAACTTGAAAAATTAAAAAAATACTTCCGGAAACTACCATGTAAATGAAATGAAAACTGTTATATGGAGACTATACGAAGACGTGGTCTTGCCTCCGAAAATTTTTGCCATGGGCTGTAGTACCCATTATGAACTTCAAATACCAAATATGAAACAATTGCGGTGAATAATGTCGCTAAAATCATTAAAATACTGAATATCGGGAGGTACCATTATATGGGGGCTATACGAAGACGTGGATCTACACAGACAATTTTCTGTCTTAGGCTATAGCAGCCATTACGAACTTCAAATACGAAATTTGAAACAATTCTGGCGAATGTCGCTTAAATCAGCAAAATATCGAAGAAGAGTGGTACCATAAAGGGGGGGGGGGGTATACCAAAACGTGGACAAACGGACGGACATCGCTAAATCGACATAGAATTTTATGCTGATCCAGAATACATATTTTTTGTGGGATCTAAAATGTATATTTCGAGGTGTTACAAACGGAATGACAAACTTAATATACCCTCCATAATATGGTGGAGGGTATAAAGGGTAGGAACTTTTGTGGGAGGGTTCTATGGGAAGAAGTGGGCCAATATATTGTCCGTTATCGCACATGACCTAAATCTGCTATAAATATGCGATTTGTATTCTTTTTTTTTTAAATTTGGAACATTTGGGGGGAGAGGTACCGGAATAAGTTGACCGATATTGCCCATCTGAGAATTTGAATTGAAGTTGTGCTAAGTTTGGACCAAATATGATACCTCTTTGAGCGTTTTCATGTGTACCAACGAGACAGACAGAGCAAGTTAATCTCTAGATCCTCGTTCATTGATACATTGCAATAAAACTATTATTTGGATGAAGCACATTATGGAATATATGGCAAGGAAGGCCGACTGATTAAGAAAATACAATTTCTAACCCAGTCTCCCACAAATAATTCGAGGTGTTATGAATGTAATGACAAACTTAAACTGAATTTAAACTTCGTCAGCATCAACTCTTTATTCCTTTACGAGAAAGCCAGTCGATGACTTATGTCAGAAAAAATCTTCTTAGGTATCCTCACATCCGAGCCTCACATCCAAATTATAGAATGTTGTGATTTATAATGGACTAGTTGTCTAGATCAAAAGTACGGGAATTAAAATTGTCTTCGTTTTCACAAACCGGTCAGACTTAAGCCTATATGGTTTCTCATGATTTAAGGAGATTAAGTATATGTCTTATTGAAATAAACATTTGAGACCCTGTATATTAAAAGTCCTTAATTTTTAGTTAAAAAAAATATATTCCAATAATGTCCCTCTCACTTCCTATAAACATACAAAATCTTGGCATACATTATTTAATATTGAACTCAAAAAAAAGGAAGATAGAAAACTAGGGCAAACAATTAGCCAGCCACATCATTATCTCACTAAAATTGAAGAACAAAAATTCAAAAACAACACTCATAAAAAACAACAATAAAAATTCGAAAAAAAGGACACAACACATTCATTACAAATGATAAACACACCTATTGGTTTGATCGGTTACGGTGTAGGTGGTGCCATCGACAAGTGCATGTGGATTTGTGGTCGAATTTAAACGTACATCGGTTATTTCAAGTTTTCGTCTCAATGTGTTCGTACCAATACCATTCGCAGTGGAATTGAGTGTGGCGGTGGTGGTGGTGTTGTTGTTGTTGGTAATGTGATTTTGTGCCAATTTATTGTTGTTAGTTTTATGATTTGGCAATGTTTTACAACTAGCACTACTACTGGTGGAGGAATTTGAAATGGTATTCGAATTGTTAGAGGAATTCATTGAAGGACATTTATATGAAAATGATGATGATGTGGATGTCGAGGAATTCGATTGACTAATGGTGGTATTGGATTTTTTCAATTTAATTTTGGGTGCAATTACAGGTGGTGGCGGTTTAATGCTAATTTTAATGGTTTCATGGACTTTGACGGGTTTGAGTGTGGCAATGGTGGCATTAATTTCATTGTGACTCTTTGATTGTGACAATTGGGTTTTGGTGTTTTTGGGTAGAGTGTTGTTTTTTGTGTTGCTGTTGTTGGTGTTAACATTCTTTGTGAATTTCATAAAATTCTCATTCGATGAGGATTGTTTTAATTTTCTAGCAACTGTTGGTGTGTTGTTGTACGAGGCACTAGGTGTTATTGTTTTTAAAGCTATATTAGTTGTAATTGTTGGTTTAGGTTTAGGTTTAATTGTGTTGTGGTTGTTGTTACTGTTGGCTGTGGTGTTAGTATTTGATAAGTGTTTTGTGGAAGAGGAGTAAGATGCAGTTAACATTGCAGTTTCTTCGGCCGTTGTTGGTTTCAGTTGTCCCGTTGCCACAGTGGGGGCTTTGCGAACAACACCCACTGCTGGCTTTTTCGTGGGAGAAAACCTAAACGAACTCGTCGAGGTAGTTGTTAGAGAAGGTGTAGAGGGTGAATTGAACGATTTGCAATTGTTGGATGTTGGAGTAACAGATGTATAGGAACTAGTGCTAAAAGATAAACCATGTTTGTTGGATGTTGATACATACATATTCTCGGCCAACTTGCCACCGGCAAAGAACGGATGATGACGGCAGTAATACATGAACAGGCAAAAGGCAGCCATAAAAGGCAGGACAGCAAAGAAGAAGATGTACATAAAACGCTGGAATGCTTGGTGGCCTGTGAAAACAAGGGAAGGTTTAGAAAAGTAATTAAAAGAAATTGAAGAAGAATACTTACTATTGGGATTGGTGGCTGGTCCACTGTCCACTGAACCACCAGGACCGGGCATTTTACATGTTGGCCCCGTAAAACCAATATTGCAGTGGCAATGCCCCTTGCTATTACAAATACCATTGCCATTACAATCCTCGGGACATTCTCTACCCATGCCCGATAACCTTAGCTGTTCAATGGCCAAACATTTCTGGTTGACACACATCTTGTCTTGACCACATTTAGCACCGTTAGGTGTTAGACCAGGATCCGTTGATTGCAAACCCAAATCCACCAGGGCCGCACGACACGGCACAATATCCTTGTCGTGTGTTATAAAGGAATGTGAAAGCACCGCAGCTGTTTCCATACCAAATTCCAGTCTTTCGTTTAAATGGCGGCAGTGTAACATGCCACATAGGGCATGTTCCTCCTCGCAGGGTATGAAGGTGTTATTCAAACGATTGTAACCACAATTGCCTCCACGTTTTCCCTGTATGTTCATTTCAGCATAGCATGGCTCGGAATTTTCACCAGTTGGACCCCACAAGACACGACACTGGTACGAGTGGGAACGACAATTGCCTTGGAAACAATATGCCTGACCACCATCACATTCCTCCGTGTCCCGTTTGAAGACATCCTGAGGACAATATTCCGATTCTCCGGTACAATATTCGGGCAAATCACATTCATTTTCGGAATTGCGACATTGGGTGCCAGCCATTTTGGGACGACATGTTGCCAAGTCACAGCATTCCCCAGTAGCACACGAGGCATTTGCATGAAGCATACAGGTGTAGGGATCACAACAGGTGTTTTCACAATACGCCGGCATGCCGCAGTCACATTGTTCGCCGGGTTCGACAAATCCATTGCCACATTGAGGTGAATCAAATAGTTTGGTGGGTTTATTTCTTAGGCAATAGTTCATGCCACGTGAAAAGGCCATATTCAATTGATCTATGCTACAGGAACTCCAATGCACGGGCAGAACCGAGGTACTGCTGGCCGACATAATACATTTCTCATCCTGGCAAGTGCAGTCACTGGAATCATGCTCCATGCCAAAATTATGGCCCAACTCATGGGCCATTGTTGTGGCTACAACGCCCACAATGGGACTGTGTTCCACGTTGACACTGCCCGAATATTCATGTGTACAAATCGGGCCTTTGAATGCCTTACCTGGTAATAAAGAAAAAAGAAATTGTTAATTTGCTTGTAAATAAGGAAAGAAAATCTCGAACTTACCCACAACGCCTTTCTCGAACTTAATTTTGGTCAGCAGCTGGGCACTGTCATTGGGATGTTCCAAAACCAGTTTGGTGCGACGATAATTTAGGAAATTCCTCAAAGTTATGTCAGCATCTGGTGTTATTTCAATTTCATTCGATTCATTCCAAATGACCACACCCACCAGGGCAATGAATATGTTCAGAGGGACATATAACTGAAATAAAAAGAGATTGACTCGACTTATTACACCATGTTGGAATCGTTTGGTAGAGTAACACTTACCGCATTCATAATATTGGCCAAATCCTTGCAATGCTGATGCACCTTCTTCATGTTCTCATTGAACGATTTGTAGGCCTTGTTATCCACCACAATGACAATTTCCACATACGAGGAATGTTTATTGGAATTATAGGGACCACGTATCATATTGTTGTCATCATCGTATGAACGTTTGTACTGGAATAGAAGGAATATTAAAATAGAGGGTAAGATAGCGTCGGGCTAGAGAATATCGAGTGGTCTAATCTACTTACTCTTAGTATGCGATTAAATTCTGCACCATCAATGTGATTGGCAACATGTGGCACCTTGTTGTCGGCCACTTTTTGTAAAAAGTCTTCTTTTTCATGTTGATGATCGTGATCATAGCCACAAGTGGCATTTTTGGTGAAATCAGAATGTCTGAAAAGATAAATGGGGAAAATGAAATTTGTAAGAAAAACCAAAAAATGAGAGTAAGATAGGACTAATAATATGGTATGCCAAAACAATCAGAATATTGACTTGATGATTTTTGAAGTTTTATTCGGCTTTAGGTCAAAATATTAATAAGTTTCCTTGTCTTACCCAAAAAAAAAAATATGGATCAGAAGAATATGGAGGCGTGTATACATGTGAATGCCATGTAAACTTAAAACAGAAATAAATTGATAAATAAAAAATGATGTTCTTCGGGACTATATACGATCCGGACTATTTATAATGGGATAGAGTATGGAAGTATATGTACATATGTCGTATAACTGAACCATTATTAATAAAATTAGGTGTGAGATGAAAAAAGTGCAACCAACTTCATAATGCTGTCATTTCCAAGTCACTCGTCCGACAGCTGTTAAAATTATTCCAATGACAGCTCATTATATTGTTTACAAGTGTACAAAAGCATTTTGGTGAGAATTTTCCAGAAAAAAAAAGTTATTCGTGATGGAATTCAAGCGTAATAGTGTGACTTCTTTATATTTGGCTGGAAAACCATAAGTGGCTATCGTTAGAGCCAGAGCTCCAGTATTTAAATGTGAATAAATCTTTTGTATCTCGTACCATCGCTCGTTACCGTTATACTGGTAGCGTAGCCCAACGTCAAGGAAGTGGAAGAACTTACACCGCAACAGAAAGAAAATGGACTCAAAAGAGCTAAAGAGCTGTTTCGCTTGGCCGAAAGTGGTGAACTGCTGAATTTGGTTTTCGTTGTCCAGCAGTTTATAAATAAACAAAATGATCGTGTTTACTTGCCAAATATGTAGGTCAGTAGAAAATGTGCATCTTCGGTTGGCCACCACCGAAACTCAAGCGCCGCCCATGGTGATGGCCGATGGTCGCTCTCCGCTCGACCCTGGCATCAGAATAAACGCCGAATATTATCGCGAAAATATTCTGAAGGGTGTATTAAAGCCTTGGGCACGCAAACAATTTGGCCGCAGACCTTGGACATTCCCACAGGACTCAGGACCATCGCACTCAGAACGCACCACACAAAAATGGTTACAAAATGAGGTTCCTCGCTTTATTTCCAGCGCACAATGGCCACCAAAATCCCCGGATACCAATCTGTTGGGCTATTGTGTCTGGAGTATTTTAGAAAGCAAGGTTGGCACTAAAAAAATCAAAAGTGTCGTTCACCTTAAGCAAGCGCTTTGCCGGGAATGAGCCAAAATACCGCAGAGCATTTGGGCAGCGTGTGACGGTTTCATTTGCCGTTTGAAGACCATAATTCGTGTCAAAGGTGATCACTTTGAACAAATCTAAACTTATTCTAAAATTTGATGCTATTTCCGATTTTTTTGCTTTCATTGGCGTTTGACTTTGTTGCAGTGTTTATACCCTACAACACTATGTGTTGGGGGTATTATAAGTTTGATTGGGCCAGAATTTATGTAACACCTCGAAATATTGATTTCCCACATAGGAAAGTATATATGGATCTTCCTAGCTCGCCGAGCTGAGTCGATCTAGCTATGTATGTCCGTCCGTCCGTCTGTCCATGTTAATTTGTAATCACGCTACAGGTCGCAATTATGGCCCGATCCTTACGAAATTTTGCACGAAGGTGGGGTTAGGGTCAGAATAGAAACCTATTTCTTTTGGAGATGATCGCCAAATGTTTAGGGGTTGAAATGGACCAAATACTGAAAAAATGTCGGATTTTGCAGTTGCTATACAGGTCGCAATTATAGACCAATCGAATTTCGCATGTAGTTAAAGTTTAAGGCGGGGAAGAAGCCTACCAATTTGGGTGGTCATCGGATAATATTTAGCGGGTAAAATAGACCATATCTTTTGTGTTGAAAAAACTCAAAATTTTTCATTAAACTGCAAATATTTTAAATACCGGCGAAATCACAAAGCCATGACAAGGTTACTTCTGACCTTTACATTGATGTTAACATCCAACAAATCGGATATATAGCAAAATATATGCGATATTTATGTCTATCAAAGAGGATATGCTTGAAAGATCTCTTATATGTCGAGAACGGCTGAACTGATTTCGACAGTTCTCATTAATTCAGAATGGAAAGAAAAAACGTCTAAAAAATCGCATAAAAATATCTCTCTAAAGATAAAAATGTTGATTTAGTAACATTTTCTCATATTTTTTCAATTTTGGCATATTTTCATTTTGAATTAAACATTTGGTAATATTTCTACAGCTAACAAAACTAAGTAGTTAGGATATCAGGATATAATATACAGATCGCATTTATGGCCCGATCCTTACGAAATTTTGCATGGGGATAAGATGAGGTTTTTTTTTATTATTTGTCACAATATCGTGTGGAATTCTTTCGAGTATCTCGCCTATATAAATTGCATTTATTCAACAATTTTTCGAATATTCCCTTCGCCTTATACTTAATTTAGAATTGTTCAAAAATTTTAGCCAATTACGCGGAAGGTTTCAGAAAAATGTTTATTGATCTAATTTCGTTAGAAATATTTAAATGTGCAAAGATCAAATGTTGTCAAAGAGACGCAGGGTCTAAAGGTGTTGTTTCGATTCGACACCTTTTTTTGATATATCTCCTCTGTAGCCATAATAGTATAAATATTGAATATTCACTTCAAAGGCCCCACTGTATATACAAAAACCTTTTATTTATTTAATTTGGTAGCTCTTGCGCAGCTTGTTATTAATAGTTGACCCTTCTGCTTGAATGAGTACCTCATAAGTGTGTGTGACAGTGGTTGTAGGTATTCCCCTGTATGTCTGCCAAATGTTTGTTTTGTTTGCCAAATGCCAAAATAAACTAGCCGAAACAAGTAAATATTTATCTATGTGTTCTAAGTGGTATTTGGTCGACAGACACTGCTGGATGATAGGGGGCAGCCGGCAGGGAAGAGACAATAGGAAGTTAACCACAATATGGGACACTAGACAAAATAAGTATTCCATTACTACGATTCTATGTCTTGTTTACCCAGTGGCGTCTCCAACAACATATGTACGTATATAGCTAGCCACATTATTGTTGTTGTTATACATTCCACCAGCAAAGCCCTAAACCAAACACTTAACGAAGAGCTGTTGCTGAATTTTGAAATTCTTCGTAGGAAATTAATATTTTTTTCTTCTGCTCGCTCGAGTGCGGTAACGCGAAAAGGAAATCTTTTCTTTATGAAATTTAATACGTAATTTATTGTACCTACACAACAATAATATTGTTGTTTTTGCTGCTATTGTCATGTCTCTATTACGGCATGCTTTCCTCCACATGTCACTCGATATGTAATAAAACTTAATAATCATTAAATAAATAATAAATCAATTATTTGTAGTTGTATTGTTACAAATCGTTTCTTGCAAAGCGTGAAGATAGTTGACAAGAGGTATGGCGGTACATAAGTGGCGGGCGCTTGAGGTTGGCCTACGCAATGTCACATTCATCATTTGCGGATGGGGGATGGGACAGAAATAAATAAATACTAAAATAAATAAATCAACATGCGGTGGATTTTAAATGGGATCAGGTGAAATTTTGTGGTTTTTCTATTGGAGCCAGAGAGACGATAAATGTGTGTTTGTGAATATGGGTTGTATTGAATATCTGCCACACTTTTATTGAGATCTCAATGCTGTTCCTAATAAAATTTGTAGTGTTTGTGGTATGCAAAAAATATAGGTGATTGTAGAGATGAAATGGTTAAGCTACTTTACACCGTTTTTTAGAAGATTTGACTAAAATCTGCAATCATATGCTCGTTGGACGAAATCCATTGCAGGAAATTCTGATTTTATCAAGCGAAGTCCGGCCCTCTCTATTTTTGTTTTGAGAAGGATAACGGTCGGTGGAAGTATCCGATTTGACAAAACGCAGTTTTTTTTTGGCCAAATAAAGAATGATTCACATCCGCAGACATCTGTTCCCACACATTTTTGTTCGTGACCAAATATGGTGCTTTTTACGATTTATTTTTTTAAACCCTAACCAAAAAATCACAGATTTTTTAGAATACTTTTTAAAAGATTTCCTGAGCGGAAATATTGAACCAAATAAATTTTTTCTGACTAAAAATCGCGAATTAAAAAAAAAAAAAAAATAAAGAACTCCTGACCAAATCCTTGCTTTTTTAAAAAAAAATATTTCCAAAGAACTCGTGACTTGAATTCCTCTCTACAAACATAAAATCCCACATTTTTTAAGAATTTGTTTCCTTACAACAAATCATAGATTTTTTAAATATTTTTTCCAGTACCTCCAGATCGAAAACCGTGGATTTAAAAAAAAAAAAATGGTTTACTTTCACTTTTAAAAATGCGTTTTTTTACATTTTAAGGACTTGTCGAAGGAGAAATCGCGAATTTATTGAAATATGTCATGAAAATCGTGGAAGTTTCCAAAAAAAAGATATTTAAGGAATACTATTTTGTAAACAACCTCCAGTGGATTTGAAGTAAATCTTTTCTAGGTCTTTTAAGACCGAAAGCCCCCGCAACAGGAAGAAAATAGCTAAAGAGTTGCTTCACTTGACCGAAAGTGGTGAACTGCCGAATTTGGTTTTCTCCGATGAGAAAACATTTAATGTCCAGCAGTTTGTTAACAAACAGAATGATCGTTTTTACTAGCCAAGAGGTCAGCTGAAAATGTGCATCTTCGGTTGGCCACCAGAACTCAAGCGCCGGCCATGGTGTGGGCCGCCATAACAGCCGATGGCCGCTCTCCGCTCATATTATTCCGCTTCGAATATTATCGCGAAAATATTCTGGAGGGTGTATTAAATCCTTGGGCACGCAAACATTTTGGCCGCAGACCTTGGACATTACAACAGGACTCAGCACCATCGCACTCAGCACGCGCCACCCAAGAATGGTTACAAAATGAGGTTCCTCGCTTGTCTCCTCCGCTGGACTATTGTGTCTGGAGTATTTTGAAAAGCAAGGTTAGCACAAAAAAATTCCAAAGTGTCGATTACCTCAAGCAAGCGCTTCGCCGGGAATGGGCCAAAATACCGCAGAGTAACATTCGGGCAGCGTGTGACGGTTCCATTGGCCATAATTCGTGCCAAAGGTGACCAATTTGAACAAATCTAAACTTATTCTAAAATTTGATGTTATTACCGACATTTTTTGCTTTCATTCAATAAAATTAAAAAAAAATGTAAAAATTATGGCGTTTAATTTTGTTGCATTTTTTTCATTTCACCCTGTATACTAGATTTTTAGAGCATTACCTAAAGAACTTTTTGTATAAAATATTTCAAAGACTTCCCGACGAAAATAGTAGATGTTTAAGGTCTCCCGACCAAGAATGGGACAAAAATCTTAATTTTTTTTTAAAAACCATTAGGAGGTTCTAACCTGACCAAAAAATTGTGTTTTTTTAGAGAACACTTTAAGACCTAATATCCAAAAGTTTTGAATTTTATAGAAAATTCTTTCAATTCTTTTCTTAAAAAAATAATTTTCGAAAATCATCTGAACCAAAATTAAGTACTTCCTACCTACCAAAAATCATGCATTTTTTTTAAGAACTTGTGACCAAAAACCGTGATCTTGAAAATTTAGTTTGGGTCATTTAAGATTATTTAATTTTTTTAAGAATATGTTTTTAGGTATCACCCCTCAAAATCGATTTTTTTTGATGTGGTAAGATGTACTGAAATTTTTTTTTTTTAAAGTTAAAATTTCTTTGGTTGGTATCGTAGTTTTTATGTCTTTTTTAAACGCCAAAATTTCTTTCATCTCATGTATAAAAAAAAAAAATTTTTCTTTCCCATCCTATATATATCAACTTACCTAAATAATAAATGCTCATCCTCCAATTGGCCATCGCTGCCAGAATGTATGAAATATGTGTCAATGCCATCGAAAATGACACCATTGACGCCGCCATTGCATGTCGATACGGCCACATATGATTGGGGCATGTCACGTATGGTGCCCTGGAAAATTGTTCCCAAAAGGAAAAAATGAAAACAATAAAACACATTATTATTTTTACAACTCTATATCTATTGAAGGTGTGTGTTCTCTCACCTGATAATGGCATAAATCAACTTCAGTCTTGGTAAAATTTTGCACAACATGTCCATGGGTTGCGTTCGAATTTTGATAACGTAAAAAATGTTCATCGGGCAGTAGATTATCGTTACGTTTCAGATCAATTAAAATGCGTTGACCTTTGTGATGATACGTTAATGTGATATGGGGCACATGAAGACCATCCTGGAAAAGAAGAAATAAGTGGGATTAATTTGCAATTACAATATTAGGAATTTTTTTAGAATAAATATACTTGGGGTAGGATATATGACTGGCAGATGCTTTGCCAAGGATTCTATTCTAAGCAATGCTTGTGGTTTTACTCAGTGGGTGGTTGTCAACGCATTTGCGTCACAGATTTTGCAATGAAATTCATGGAACTTCAATAAAATGTCGGTCTCTGAAGATCTTCTAGGAAGAGAAGATCTCTCAAAAGCCTTCTATGGAAATAAAACCTCCTAAAGTGTGTTGAAAGGACAGAAGATCTTTGGAGGTCCCTATATTGAAGTTGACCTCTGGTAGGTCAATAACAACAGGAGGCCTTTTAATAGCCTTCTATTGACCGAACACTTTTAAAGGGTATTCTATAGAAAGACGACCTTCAAAAAGTCATCTATAGACTGAATGCATTAAAGAGGGGTTTTATAATCAGAATTCTTTCTTAAAGATTTCTGTAAACTGTGGACCTCTTGAATGTCCTGTGTGGTCCGAAGGCCTCTCAATTTTTTTTTGTGGGAAGAAGACAGAGCAATTCTTATAGGGGTTCTTTTACAAGAGGCACTTAAAAGGCTTTCTAAATATAGAAAAGATTTTCAAACAAAAGGCCTGGAGAATCTTTCGAGAGACTGGGGGCCTTTCGAAGGCGTTTTTTAGACAAAATCTTAATCAAAGGCCTTCTAGAGACAGAAAACTTTCGGAAGGTCTACTAAAGGTTCTTCTTATACCCAAACAAATTTTGAAGGCTAATTGAAAATCGCATGTATTATTTATGGACCGAACCTGTTAAATATTTATTATATATTCTCAAATGTCTTTGAATAACAATTATTTATTTCTTTTCCCTCATCTTTCTTTAAAATGCCATTTTAGTTTCACCAATCGTTGGACTAATAGCATTTTAAACTTCCCCCACTTAAAATTCTGGTCATGAAACCACATAAAAGTGTCCAGCATAATTGAAAAAAAATTGTTTCTTTATTCTATTCAGCAGGGATTTTGGCAATCAACTGTTGGCAACTGCCAAACACTTTACCAGAGTTCCAAAACTAAAAAAAGCATAAAATTCCAAAACAAATATTTGTAATTAATTTTACACAGCTTAACAGCCATTAAATGGGGGGAGAATAATTGAATTCAAAGAATTTTGCTGACGCACGGCATAGAAATTAGAGAAAAGTGTAAAAACTGCTGTTTTAAATCAATTTAATTGCGTTTGGTGGCATTTTTTGTGGGGGTGAGTGGAATAATAACTATTTTTAAAAAAGAGTTCGGAGAAAAGTGAACTAATTTTAATAGATTTATGAAATTTTCAGAAGACGTGGTTTTTTATTCAACCCACTTATATAATTGACAGCTATTTGTTTAGAGTTAATCCCAAACTTTATATTTTGTCCTCTATGACTTGTTCCTTATTTACTTCAATATCTTGTGAGTTATTAATTCAAAATAAATCCAATTTTTTTTATAATTTTTCAATATTACCGTCCGTGGCCTATGTGTGTCCCTTTAAAGGTATCCATTTCTCTCATGACTATTTAACATTCCCCCACCACAAATATTTTCATTAGTCGCCATTTAGCTGCCTCCTCCCTTGTGTGTCGGCATATATTTACATTTCTCCCTAAAATATGAACATTCATATTTTGTCCCTACCCATCTCCTCTCCTCGCTTGTTATTTAACCTAATTAAGTCAATGGAATCCTTTGACATAGCATTTTCAAAATAACTTCATTGGCGTTCCCGCTGTCAAAATGAATTCCATTGGCCACAGGTAGGATGGATACCAGCTCCACACCTCAAAATTGCATGTTTGTTCAAAATTACATGACCTTTGAATTTCTTTGGTCACAAAGTTTGTTTGGTTTGTAGCAAAACTTTGGTAATTTTTTTGACTTTTGGTTAAAAACCTGGCGAATGTGTTTTTGTCCTTAAGCGGGCTAGGTGTTTCAGAGGTGATGTAAATATTTGTCATTTTTTTATTGTCCTGTTTGCAACGGATAGGTCAAGAAAATAAAACAATTTAGAAAATCCTAAGAGGTTTTCTTTCTTTAAACGACCTTTGGATTTCTTCTACCTTAAGCAGATTTTTTTGGTGTCATATATTTAGAGAATACCCACAGATGTCTTCTGTCTTTGAAAGATCGTATTTCTTACTTTAGAAGTCCTTTGTGGATCTTTTATTTGAAGAACGCCTTTAAAGGTCTTTTGTAGTTACACGATGTCACAAAACATTTGGAGACCTTAATTTTTTCGAATATTTGAAAATTTTTTGAGGTTTTTGAGTGTCCTCAGACAACCTATAGAAATATTTCAACTTAATCCTCCATATTTAGAATATATTAGAATATCGTATCTTGAAATTATATTGGGAAAACTTCTTAATTTAAACGACTTTCAGAACCTTTTATAGATGACTTTTTGGGTTTGAGACATCTTTTTTAAGAAGATTCTTAGGGATCTGATAACTTTACATGATTTTTTCTTTCGTTAGAAGACTTTTACATGTTTTCTACTTAGCATAACTTGGCATTCATTGATTCGATTTTTATACCCTCCATCATAGTATGGAGGGTATATTAAGTTTGTCATTCCATTTGTAACACCTCGATATATACATTTTAGACCCCCCTAAAAAATATATTCTTGATCAGCATAAAATTCTATGTCGATTTAGCGATGTCCGAACGTCGTGTGTCCGTCTGTGGAAATCACTCTAGCTTCCGAACGAAATAAAGTAGGTTGATAAAATTTTACTCAAATGTATATTATGTCTGCAGAACTTTTGGTATTGAAAATGGGCCATGTAGGACCACGTTTTGGTATAGCCCCCCATAAAACGGTACCTCCCCATATTCGGTATTTTGATGATTTTAGCGTCACTATTTACCGAAATTGTTTCAATTTTGGTAGTTGAAGTTCGTAATGGATACCACAGCCTAAGACAGAAAATTGTCTGTGCACGCCCACGTTCACGGTCCACGTCTTCGTATAGCCCCCATATAACGGTACCTCCCCATATTCGGTATTTTGATGATTTTAGCGACACTATTCACCGGAATTGCTTCAAATTTGGTATTTGTAGTTTGTAATGGATACTACAGCCTACGACAGAAAAGTGTATGTATTTTAGCTACATTATTCACCGATTTTTTTTTTAAGTTTCGCATTTGAATTTTGTAATGGCTTATGACAAAAGTTGCCTATGCTGGACGTCGTTTAGACACTAATATGACGGCTATATTTGGTATTTTTAAGATTTTAACAAAATTTTTAACAGATTTTATTGTTTTTCAGAGTTGCCAAATTCGTTCCAAATGGTGGAGGATATTCAAAGTTTGGTCCGGTCGGACTTACAGCTTTGTTACTTGTTTTTAAATTATATGATTTTAAATTGCCTTAAAAAATTAAAAGAATTATTTTGAATTTATTTCAACTTACCGTATCCAAGGTATGACGCAGCTCTCGTTTATGCCTGGCATGATGAATTTTTGGATATATCACAGAATGCGTTGAGAAATCATCCACAACATTAGTAGTGGTGGCAGAAAAAGTGGCTGATTGTGTTTCTGGTTTAGCACCCGTCGTTGTCGTCGTTGCATGACTTCGATATGTTGCGGAGGAGGCTGATGAGGGCAATGATGCGGATGATGATGAAGCTGGAGAAAAGGTAAATTATCAGAAGGAGAAAAAAACGAAATTAGATACAATTTTTGTCAATAATCAAAAGAAAAAAAAAAAAAAAAACAGAGAGAAATGGAAAAGCACAATTATTTTATAATTTCAGAAGAACAAAAAAAAAACGGAAAACCCACCAAAACGAAACATAACCAAACATCAAAAAAAAGTGTTCTCCCATTATCACGCTGATAATGTGAGAAAATAACAAACATTTAATGACCATTACAAAATCATATGAAATCTTCTTTTTTATGCTGCTGCTGCTGTTTCTTTTCATTTTTCCGTGAACACGAGTAGCAGCTAAACTGAATGGCATTCGACGTCCATCGTGTGTAGCATAGGCGATGATGATGACGATAATGCTATTCTCGCTTGTCCACATTATTCTGCTGCACGTAGCCTAATGACTTTAATAAGCTTATTATAAAGCCAAAATACAACCAAGCTAATGCCAAGTTCTTGGGCTTGGGTTCTAATTTTGTCACTTGGCTTCTTGTGGACTTTGTTCTCTTGTCATTATGCCTTTTTTATCTTAACTTTTACTAATTATAAACTTGCTAATGTAGGAGGAGTTGAAGAAAGAAAGAAGCTAAGAAATCATACCTTGTAGAGGAAATTCTTGAAAAAAGGTTAGATCTGTGCACAATAGGACGATGTTGAGCAGATGCAAACGTTCATAGTTTAATAGAAATAGACTACTAAATTTTAAAGATTTACCTCATAATGAGAGCTATGCCAAAAAATAGGCCTACAATAAACGTTTATATCCTCTTAAAACTATAATCCCGACCTAATTTGGTTTGAAAATGCATCGATCTTTTTTTAATAATTCAAGAACAGGGTTCCCAAAATCTTAAAGAAATGTACGCTAAATTAAGAAATAATTTTAATAATTTTTTGAAATAACGTATTTTTTGAAATACTGTCATTTCTCAGAAGACAGAAAGAAGCTAAGTAAGGCCTTGTAGAGGAAATTCTTGAAAAAGATTAGATCTGTGCACAATAGGACGATGTTGGACAGATGCAAATATTCATAGTTTAATAGAAATAGACTACTAAATTTGAAAGATTTACCTCATAATGGGATCTATGCCAAAGAATAGGCCTACAATAAACGTTAATATCCTCTTAAGACCATAATCCCGAACTAATTCGGTTTGGAATGCATCGTTTTTTTTTAATAATTCAAGAACAGGGTTCCCAAAATCCTTAAAAAAGTCCGCTAAATTAAGAAATAATTTTAATAATGTTTTAAAATTCTGTCATTTCTAAGCCACTCGTCCGACAGCTGTTAAAATTATTCCAGTGACAGTTCATTATATTATTTACAAGCGTACAAAAGCATTTGGGTGAGAATTTTTCAGAAAAAAAGTTATTCGTGATGGAATTCAAGTGTGATAGTGTGATTTTTTTTATATTTGGCTGGAATTCCTTAAGTGGCTATCGTTACAGCACTCCAGCATTAAAGTGTGAATAAATCTTTAGTGTCTCGTAACATCGCCCGGTACCGCGACACTGGTAGCGTAGCCCGACGTCAAGGAAGTCGACGGAAGAAAACAGCAACATCAGCAGAAATGGTTCGAAAATAAAGAAGCGACTTGACCGAAACCCGCGTCGCAGTGGCCGAAAAATGGCTTGTAAACTAAACATATCGCAATATTCCATTAGGCAAATCTTGAAAAATGAGCTCGGGGTGAAGCCATTAAAATTTCAAAAGTGCAAGAACTTACACCGCAGCAGAAAGGAAATAGTCTCAAAAGAGCTAAAGAGTTGCCTCGCTTGGCCGAAAGTGGTGATCTGCCGAATTTGGTTTTCTCCGATGAGAAAACATTCGTTGTCCAGCAGTTTGTAAACAAAAAAAAATGAAAGAGGTCAGCTGAAAATGTGCACCTTCAGTTGGCCACCAGAACTCAAGCGCCGGCCATGGTGATTCTGTGAACCGACATAACAGCCGATCATAACTTTCCCCTCGTATTAATCAACTGTGGCATCAGAATAAATTCCGAATATTATCGCGAAAATATTCTGGATGGTGTATTAAAGCCTTGGGCATGCAAACATTTGTCCGCAGAACTTGAACATTCCAACAGGACTCAGTACGCGCCACCCACGAATGATTACAAAATGAAATTCCTCGCTTCATTTCCAGTGCACAATGGCCACCAAAATCTCCGGATACCAATCCGTTGGACTATTGTGTCTGGAGTATTTTGGAAAGCAAGGCTGGCACTAAAAAATACAAAAGTGTCGATCACCCCAAACAAGCGCTTCGCCGGGAATGGCAGGTCAAAATTCGTGCCTAAGGTGACCAATTCGAACAAATCTAAACTTATTCTAATGCTATTTCCGACATTTGTTGCTTTAATAAAATTAAAAACAAGTAAAAAAGTTGTAAGTTCGGCCGGACCAAACTTTGTATACCCTCCACCATTTGCTACAAATTTGGCAATTTTCAAAAAAATAAAATCCGTTAAAAATTCTGTTAAAATCTTAAAAATACCGATTGTAGCCATATATTAAGGTCTGTACGACGACGTGAATTTTTGTCATAGGCTGTAGTATCCATTACGAACTTCAAATACCAAATCCGGTAAATAATGTCGCTAAAATCATCAGAATACCGAATATCGGGGGGTACCGTTATATGGGGGCTATACGAAGAAGTGACCTACATGGCCCATTTTCTGTTTTGTGCTGTAGTATCTATTACGAATTTCATATACCAAATTTGAAACAATTCCGCTAAATAATATCGCTAAAAACATCAAAATGCTGAATATCGGGGGGTACCGTTATGTGGGGGCTATACGAAGAAGTGGACCTACATGGCCCATTTTCAATACCAAAAGTCCTGCAGACATAATACACATTTGAGTAAAATTTTATCAACCTACTTCATTTCGTTCGGAAGCTAGAGTGATTTCCACAGACGGACAAAAATTATCTCGAAAAGGAACTTTGTTCTTATATTCGTTAAAAACTTTTGTGAAAAAATCTATGAACGTTATTCTTAATTTTTTTAAGACCGCGCGACTGCTGTTCTTTTTTTCATTTAAGACATTTTTTTAAAAACCAGAAACGTTGTTCTTATTTTCGTTTAACAAATTCAATTTAAAATTCATGAACGTTGTTCTAAAATTCGTCTTAGAAATTCTCTTTAAAAATGGACGTTCTTCTTTAATAGCCTTAAGAACTTTTGTTTTTAAATTCATGAACGTAGTACATACTTAACTTCTTTTAAGGAAATCTATGAACTTTATTATCTGAATTGTTTTAGAACATTTCTTTAAAAATCCATGTTCCGTTGTTCTTAATTTCATATAAGAAATTTTGTTTTAAAATCTGTGCTCCTTTATTCGTTTCATGAACGTTGTTCTTAAATCCGTTTAAGAAATTTTCTTTAGATTCATAAAGTTTATTTTAAAATCCTTTTTTGAATTTCTCTTCGGAAAGCCACGAATGTTGCGCTCAAATTTATTTAAGTAGTTTTTTCACAAATCTTTTATAATTTTGTTTATTTTATATTTTTTATATTCGATTCTGAGCTTTTCCCAACCCATTGTGTAATAGGTGTGGGAAATTCTTAACTGGAAACAACAACATGCTTAAAAGCCAATTAACACTTAACTTTTCGTTCCTTTACCTGAAAGAAAAAAACTTCTTGTAGACTCTCATGTTGTTGTCTTAAAAGAAAATGGTATCAGATACCAAAGAGATACCACCAAGATAAAAATTTTGTTGTTTGTTTTCTCTTTTCTTTCTGGGTAAAGTTTAAAGTGTCACCAGGTCTTATATCTTTGACTCCGGTGCTGGTGAAGGTGAAGTGCATCTTATGTGGCAATGTTCGTATGTCCGGGGAGTAATAAGAAAATAACTTTGAAAATAAAATCACAACACTTTTGTGTTGTTCTGTTCTGTTCAGCTCAGCTTTAGAGTTTTGCCAGTTTTTGTCGTCTTACATTACCTGGGGAATTCAAAACGTTTTGTCAACTGAACAAACATTGAAGTTTAATATGCTGGAGATAAGATGAAAGATTAAAAGAGTGAGAGAGGGAATGTGAGGGCAGGGCATTGTGGTCATGTTACCAAGAAATAACAAGTGCTTAGGGTCTGTGGGACAAAACGGTAATCTGAAGACAATTCTTCAAATGGGGTGTTAATTAAGTAGAGACAAAAAAAAGAAACGGTTTCTTATTTTAGTTGTTTTTTACTGTTTGTAGAAGAATTAATGAAGATTATTAAATCGGATTTCAAAATCTTGAGTTTTATAATTTCATAAAAATGTTATTAATTTCAAAATGTGCGAATTACAACCATTGTTTGGAAAAAAAGAGAAAGGAAAATCTGGGAAAATGTATTAACAAAAAAAAAAAAAAACATGTAAGCAAAGGCTACAGCCGGGGCCGACCGTTGAATACCCTACAACACTATAATAAGTGATACAGTTTATATAGGCGAGATAATCGAAAGAATTCTACAAGATTTTGTGACAAATAATAAAAGAAAACCATCAGGTTTCGTTCTCTAATTTTCGAATAATAGCAACTTAAACTAATTTGCTCATTTCCAATTTATTGGTAGATGTTGCACGAAAATGGTCTTCCTAGATCTGGAACCAATATTTCCCAAAGACCTATAATCTCTCAGAAGTGGCAAAAGATTAAGATTTATTATTGGTTTTTGACTGAAACGCATCTATATGAGATACAGACATTTGACTATATTTTTTAACGAAATCAGCGTTAACGAAATAGTCAGAAGTGCGTCTTTCCTGTATTTGTGAATTCTCCAAAAAGTCACTGGATTGGACATTTTCGTATTTTGTCTACAAAAGTTCTGCGTGAGCGTCGGGCGATAATTACGACCTGCTGACAATTTGCAGTTTTTTGGTCCATTTCAACCCCTAAATATATGGCGATCATCTCCAAAAAGAGTAGGCTTCTATTCTGACCCTCATCCTATCCCCATGCTAAATTTC